GAATTTATTGACGCATGTTTTAGCATGAAGGCTGTTGAATCTTTTGTCAGAGGCCTTTTCTGCATCTATTGAGATAATCCATGTGGTTTCTTGTCCTTTGGTTTCTGTTTCGAATGCTGGATTACGTTTTATTGATTTGCATCATGTTGAAAACAGCCCTTGCATCCCAGGGATGAAAGCCCACTTGATGCATGTGGTACACTTTTTGATGTTGCCTGCTGGATCCCGGTTTGCCAGTATTTATTGAGGATTTTTGCATCGATGTTCATCAGCCGGGATATTGTCTAAATATTCTTTTTTTGTTGTGTCTCTGCCAGGCTTTGTATCAGGATGATGTTGGGCCTCGATAAAATGACGTTACGGGAGGATTCCTCTTTTTCTATTGATCTGGAATACGTTTCAAGAGGATGGCACCAGCTCTCTTGTCCTCTGGTAGAACTTCACTGTGGAACATCCCATACTGGTCTCGGGACCTTTTTTTTCGTTGGTGAGGCTATTTAATTATGCTCAATTTCAGAGCCTGCCTATTGGTCTATTCGGATTGCAGCTTCTCTTCCTGGTTTCAGTCTCTGGGAGAATGGTAAGTGTCCAGGCAAATTATCATTTCTTCTACGATTTCTGTTCTTATTTGCGTAGAGCGTGTTTATAGTATTCCTCTGCTGGTACGTCTTCGTATTTCTGTGGGGTCAGTGGTGTTCCTCTTAATCATTTTTTATTGCGTCTATTTGGCTTCTTCTCTCTTTTCTTCTTTATTAGTTCTTGCTCAGCGGTCTCTACTCAGTTTTGTTGATCCTTTCAAAAAAAGCTAACTCCTGATTCATTGATTTTTTGGAGGGTTCTTTCTTTGTCTCTATCTCCTTCAGTTCTCGCTCGCTGCTCCTTAGTTATCTTCCTTGCCTTCGCTGCTCAGCTTTTGAAATGCGTGTTTGCTCTTGCTTCTCTAGTTCTTTTAGATTTTTGATGTTACAGTGTCAATTTTAGATCTTTCCAGCTGTCTCCTTGCTGCGCGCCCTCTCTACGCCGCTCACTCACCCCAACCTCT